CTCCCATGTTGATAATCATAAGTAAATTTGAAAGAGAATAATTGAAGTGAAAGAAAGAGAGGGGATTGGAAACTACCTGTCAACAAGAAAGAGAGAGAGAGAGAAGAAAAAGGGCTGCCCATTTGGAATTACATCCACATTTTCAATATTCCACCCCATTCATTATATATATATGTATATCTATGTATGTAAGTATGTGTGTGTGTATATAGATGTTGTCCCATTAGTACATTTTGCCAGCAAAATCAAGTAGGTCCACCCATTTTCTTTATACTTAATTACCCTTCATTAATTCACACCACCTTTGTCCTAATTACTCCTCATTTAAAAATCACACACACACATACATACACACACGTACGTATACATATACATATATATATATATGTGTGTGTGTGTGTGTGTGTGTGATTTCATACATAGTTAATGAAATTAATGGTATGGGAAAATAGATTATTTATTCCAAACACAACTTTGGCACATATGCTTCAAACTTTTGTATGCACTTTTTATATATATATATATATGTATATAAAATTATGAAGTCTATCTATCATTGTCATTTGAGTAGGCTAAAGTCTCTCTGTCTCTCCTCTGGCTCCAACTTCATTCTTGCATATCTTTTGATGGTTAATTTTCTTGTAGATGATTTAAGTTTTCTATAATGACCACTCACCTATATATAAAATATTTCCATACACACCCACACACTCATAAACCTACACATGCACGTACCCATATACATATACATATACATATACATACATATATGTGTGTGTGAGAAATTTCCATAGACACCCACTATCACAAATATACACATGCACATATAAATGCAATGAATAACAAAAAAAAAAAAGAGAAAAGGCTTATTTTTTTTTTTAAGATACGATTACCCTTTACTATGTATCTAAAATTAATTTTATAATTCTTTTAATATAACGCAATATGTGTTTTCTCGTATACTAAACAAGAGTCAATAGATAGTTATTGTCTGACCCAAAATATCAAGTATGATTAAATTTATAAATTTATTAAAAATTTTAAATATATATATTATATATATATATATGTGTGTATAATTATCATTGAAGAAAATTCTCTGTAATTATTAATCACATTATTAATTTTCTCAACTTGGCAACTTGATTTTTTCAATCTTAATGATAGGATCTTGTGTGTTCTTCGTGTGGCAAATAAATACCTTTACATGACATGCCATCAATGTCACTAGTCGTATGTATTTTTAAATTTATAGTTATATATAATATTAATTTTTATTCTCTAAAAAAATAAAATTAAGTATAATTTAACAATTAAAAAAAATTATTAAGTGGGTTTCAACATTTAATTCTATAGAATTAAAAAAAAAAATTTAAATATAATATTACGATTCATTTTAATTCAAAATAAATGTTGCGTATTGTTTAATTTAATTTAATTTAATTTAATTTAAGTACTTTTACAGAGCTAAAATATAAAAATTTGCATAAAAATTAAATGGGTTTTAATCAAATTTAGAGTAATATATATATATATATATATATGTGTCTGTGTGTGTGTGTAATGCTGACTATATATATTTACGTGGAGTTCATGATAAAAAAAAAAGGTAAGCATATTTATATATATATATATATATATACCAACATGAATTCATCATTCTTAAAATATAGCCAATAATGCATCTCCTTCTACTTAAAAAGTTGATTGCATGTGTACACAATAAATACACGGGCATGATTGTATATATATGTATGTACACACGCATATGCATGGATATATAGATACATACATACATGTATATTAGCTTGCATTTGAGATCCTTCAAAGCATCTGGATTCATTACGTAAGGGGAAACCATGGGAACATGCCAACTTGTTGCAGGTTGGTAAATTATTACCATATGGATCTGAAGGATATCAATATAACAGAGAATATATATATATATTATACTGATACATACAATCATCATCATTCAAATGAATTCTTCCTTCGCAAATCTGCTATCAAAATACCAAAAAACAAAAACTGTGTTTTATAGGAGAAGATAAAAATGATATATAATATATATATATATATATATATATATATCTATATCTTTTATTTACATTGGCAGTTCTCACAAACTTGGACATAAAAAATTAATATTGCACATGTGGTATATTAGAAAGGATGCAACACTTGGCTTAAAGCAATGTGTATATACACACACCCATACATGTTTGCTTATATATACATATATATATATATATATGGATACAAAACATAAAGTTAGGTCAATGTCACTTTTTTTTTTTCAAGGTATAAGTAGAAACAAAAGTTAAATGAAAATTAAGAATTCATCATGTACATTTTAAATCAAAAAACACTAATTATATCGTCAGTTGTTGGAGATTATTCGACATTTAAATATGAAAATAGAGACACATCGATAAAAAAAACCAACATTGGTCCACCAATCAACACATTTATTCTTTTCGGGATAAATATGTTGAATCTGAACTTTTAAATCTTATAGTAACAAATATTTGATCGCACAAACGAGAGCGTCATGTGCGTTATTATTTTAAAGAAAAAAGTAAAAAGTGTAAAAATTCAATTCAAAAGGATAATTATTATTTTCAGACGAATTTATGACTATGTATAACTACATCCAAATAATGTACTTAAGTGATGAATGTATACAAAATATTTATTAGCTTCTCATCATACATATATGTAGATATAAGACATAAGGTTAGGTCAATGTCACTTTTTTTTTTTGTATATAAATAAGCAAAAGTTAAAAGAAAATTAAAAAATCGTCATGTACATTCTAAGTCAAAAAACACTCATTATATCGTCAGTAAAAAATTGTTGGAGATCATTCGACACTTGAATATGAGAATAGAGGCACACCGGTAGAGAGAAACCAATATTCGCCAACCAATCAACATATTTATTTTTTTCGCGATAAATATATTGAATCCAAATCTGCAAATCCTACAGTAAAAAAATATTTGATCGCACAAACAAGAGCATCATGTGCGTTATTATTTTAAAGAAGAAAGTAAAAAATATGAAAATTCAATTCAAAAGGATAATTATTATTTTCAAACGAATTTATGACTATGTATAACTACATCTAAATAATGTATTTAAGTGATGGATGTATACAAAATATTTATTAGCTTCTCATCATACATACATATATATATGTAGATATAAGACATAAGGTTAGGTCAATGTCACTTTTTTTTGGTATATAAAGAAGCAAAAGTTAAAAGAAAATTAAAAAGTCCTCATATACATTCTAAGTCAAGAGACACTTATTATATCGTTAGTAAAAAATTGTTGCAGATAATTCGATACTTAAATATGAGAATAGATGCACACCGGTAGAGAGAAACCAACATTCACCAACCAGTCAACATATTTATTCTTTTCACGATAAATATGTTGAATACGAACCTGCAAATCCTACCGTAACAAACGTTTGATCGCACAGACGAGGATGTCATGCGCGTTATTATTTTAAAGAAGAAAGTAAAAGGTGTAAAAATTCAATTCAAAAGGATAATTATTATTTTCAGACGAATTTATGACTATGTATAACTACATCCAAATAATGTATTTAAGTGATTGAATGTATACAAAATATTTATTAGCTTCTCATCATACATACATATATATATATATATATACATACAATTTTTTTTATGACTTATTAATATTAATAAAAAATGTATAAATATATGTGTGTGTGTTTGTATATATATATGGTGAGGGGGTAGTGATTCTCGTGACAGCATTTAGTGGGATGCATGATTGGGTTGGTTTCCAAGTCAATAAATCCATCATTGGCTACTTCTTGTTCCTTGTGAAGCCAAACACGGCCTTAACAAAATCAATCATGTAAATTTGCTTTTAATATTTTTAGCCTTTTATAATTGGCCCATTAATTTTAATATAATTGCACTTTTGGCCCATTTGAAATATATGGGCCTTGGCCCATTTGCTTCCTTAAACTTGTTAAATTCATTTGGGCTCCAATTATTCTTTACTTGAATTATTAATACTTTATATATATATTTTTTATAATAAGTTATAGATTTTAGTCATATATTAGAAAACTATATCTACACCATATATATATATATGTATACACAAAAAATAATTAATTTGTATATAAATATAAGCACTAATGTTTACCATAATAGTTAATCAACCAGTTAGATTGTATTATCGTATATATTTTTTTTAAGTTGTGCGTTTAAATCAAACTGTATTTTTTTAAAAAAATTAATTTTATTATTTTTAAGTTATAGGTTCAAATTAGGTTGTGCTATTGTATATATATTTTTTAAGTTGTGGATTTGAGTCGAACTGTGCTTTATCGTGTGATTGTTTTTTTTTTTTAAATATTAGTTTTATTATTTTATAATTAACAAATGTATTGATTTTTGTAAAATATATAAATAAAACAAAATAAAAACATATTGGTGCTTTATTTATTTTTTATATATAAATATATGTGAATTTTAAAATGAAAATTAAGAAATGTATTTTATATACTAAAATAAGGCTTACATATCTTTTACACAATTAAACCTATAATAAGTTATTTTTTATATGAATATTTAGAAAGATATTAAAAAATAATAATAATAGTGGAAAAAAAAAAACACATTCATAATGTGCTCTCGTTGAGAGTCGAACTCAAGACCTCCCGCTTACTAAACGGGTGCTCTAACCAACTGAGCTACGAGAGCTGATGTTCGAAGTCTTACATTAATAATATAACACACGGTAGTAAGTCTAAAAATGGCGGTGACGCAGCCAAACCGTTTCCGCTCGGTAACGAAATCATATCCTCTCATTTTTCCCGGCCAAGACCTCAGGTCGTTAAAAAAAGAAAAAAAAAAAAAGAAAGAAAAGAGGGGCTTGCATGAGAAATAAACAAAAATATAAGGGCATATATGCAAAAACTGTGGCTCATAAAGGCCCAAATGCCCCTGGCACCAGAAAAGTCGGGTGGAGAGTCTCTCTGTACTCTCTCTGTCTGTGTTTCGTCTTTGCTTCCATCTTTCTAGGGTTCTTCCTTCTTTAATCTTTTATTGTTTAGGGTCCATTTCTCAATTAATTTACGCAGCAAATTTGTCGTTAATTTTATTAGTATTTCCTATCGAGTTTTCGTTAAATCAAATGGACTCCAATGCGTGGATCGCTCGTCTCGCGTCTTCTTCTTCTTCTTATTCTAGGCGATACCAATCTCGATCCGGTTAGTTTCACTTTTGGGAGTTGGTGATTTCCCCTTTCTGTTCTTTTCCGCGTAAATGTTGTAAAGTTGGGAAAGATCTTTTCTTAATTTAATAAACATTGGTGATCGGGATTCGATTATTGGTGCAGATCTCTACGGAGGCGGATACGACGAGACGGAAGGCGATGATGATTTGAAGTCTGAGTTTCTTTGCCCGTTTTGTGCTGAGGAATTCGATGTTGTTGGGCTGTGTTGTCACATCGACGAGGAGCACCCCGTTGAGGCCAAAAATGGGGTTAAGTATTTGATTTCAATTCATTTGTTCGTTTTTGGTTTTATTGAGAATTTTCTTTTTTGTGGGTGTCTTTTCATAAATACTACAAATTTATAGTTTTTTTAATCTTTACTGCGTTAAGTAATCACGAATTATTGAGCTTCTTTGCCCGTTGCTTAGAATGTTAGTCTGCCATAGCTTTGCTTATGGTTTATTTCTAATATCATGTCTGTCGTTTTTCCTTTTCACCGGCTGAAGTTAATTAGGAAATTTGAAGTGCAAAAGCTGCTATAGGGACAGGACGATTTATAGTGGGGCTATTCCTGTCCGTCCAATTACTGTTTTTTGGTTTGTTCGAAGTCGAGTTCCTTCATTTCAACAATGGAACTGCATTGAAATTGGCTAATTTGATATAATGGATTGAGAATGAATAGATATGGTTGCAGTAAGTGAAGAAACGGGAGTGGTTTTCTGTCTGTGTTGTCCCATTTTTTTTTTTTTGAAGAAATTAAGCTTCATGGAAGGGTTGTAGTGTTAATTTTCATTGCTGAGCATATCAATAGTCTCCGGGGGAGTTCTTCTCTTGTGTAATAGTGGATTTTAGTGGTTAAGTTCCCCTCTTTCTCTACTCAACACAGTGGCCTCCTCAAGAGATATGTATATATATATATATATATTATTTTTTTTTTTTTTCTGGCTAATGAAATTGCTTGGAATAAAAACACAAGTGTTCAATTTTGTTGGTTTATCTGACACCCCCCTCTGCCCCCCCTTTTTTTATATTTCCAGGTGTGTCCTGTTTGCGCGAAAAGGGTGGGAGCAGATATTGTCAGCCATGTTACCTTGCAACATGGAAGTTTTTTTAAGATATCCTTTAACTAAACTACTTATTTGATGTTGTCTGTTGCTTTTCCTTTTTCCCCAAATGCAAAGACTGATGAATAAATACATATTCATATCAAAGCAGCCAATTGTTGATCTGTGAGAATAAGTTAAATGGAATTGAACAGGTTACATCAATGTGCTAGATTAAGAGATGTTTGAACATTTATTGCTGTATGTTTTAGTAAAATGGTTGCCTTTTCATTTTAACCTTGGATTAGGATCCACCATGTAAGAATTTTTCTGGGTCAATTAGAAACTGCTTTCAGGTATTTTGAGCTGTGAGTTCACTTTAAGCCCAATTATTTTTTATTCATGCTGAATGCAATAACAAGAATCTCGTAGATAATATGTATACATCATGAGAAACTGAACTTTCAATCTGTTCTCATTACCACCTCATAAATTCCTTTTTATGCACGGGCAGCAATCCCGTGGTACTTTGTGTTCTATTCACTTTTATTTTTTCAAAAAAAGGAAAAAAGAAAAAGGTTTTAATTTGAATCTACTACCTCAACCCTCCCATAGCTTTAAATCCATTTAAGTGGCTGTCTACTAAGTCCTCGCTTCCCACAATTTCCTATAATGATAGTCATTTATATTTATTGTTAGCTTACATCTTCTCTGATCTATTCAGAAATTAAAATTTGTTTGTAGTTCTCTCTCACATTCTGATTTTGTTTGAACCGCCTAAGACTTGTCGCCATGCTTTACTGGAATCTCACATTATGTTTATGGCCACAATAAAGAGTTCCTTCAGTTCCTTGACCAGAGATTACGTGCAGCGCAAGAGGAGATTACGCAAGGGTGGATCTAACTTGACATTTTCTATGCTAAGGAAAGAATTGCGAGAGGGAAATTTTCAGTCCCTTCTTGGGGGATCATCGCATGTAGTTTCTTCCTCCATTATAGAATCTGATCCATTGCTGTCGTCATTTATGTTTAATCCACCTTCAGGTGATGAATGTTCAAATGGACATCGTTTATCTACAGAGGCAAGCTCAAATAAGGAAAGCTCGAGTAAGGTTATTCAAAACAGGTAAATAGCTCTGTTATCTTGTTATCATTAACATTTACGAATTTGTTAGAAATCATAATGTCAATCAAAATCAGACAAGCTTGCTAATCGTAAAGTAGCTGTGAGGGTATAATACTGCAAGGACCAAGGAAGTGTGTAGTTACTATTGGTCAATCAATAAATCAGTTTTTGACTCTCATTTATACTAATTCTCTAGTGATATATTTATTTGAAATCAGTCTAGTTGACCATTCTCATTTCAGAACTACTGACTTAAAATGTTACTTTACATATTAGGTTGAGTTTGATTTAAATCTACTATTTTCTTATTCAAATGTTAGATTTTAAATTTTTCATACGTAGAAGTCATAATTGACATATTTAAGATATGATTGAACCTAGAATTGGCATGAAATTGTAATAATTTATAATTTTTTATCCTATTTATATTTATATCTATTCCCATTCCATATAATTTGAATTTGAACTAAAAGTCAAGGTTAATGTAAGAAAGCTGTGATAATGTCAAGTAAATGTCACTAAGTTATGCTGGCAAAAGTTGTCATAAGCATGATCAATTGTAAGTTCAGATCCTTTGACCTTTTACCTTTTACCTTTGTATATTTAATGGCATTGTACATATTAAAAGATGTACTGACATTAGTTTTAGCATTAACTTCTGCATGAGGCTTGAGAAATGGCACTACAGTTGCTTTAGATGTTGTATTTTATGTTCTAACTCCGGTTTATAGCAACAGGAACCTTCAACAGTCGGCGGTGTTGGGTAAGGATCAGGAGGAGAAAGCTCGGAGATGTGAGTTTGTCCTGGGACTGTTGGCGTCCACGATTCTGGGTGACAACGTATGAAGTCAATGGAATGTCTGCTATAGACGCATGGATTAGAGACTTGGAGTTATAAAAACAAAAAAATCGAGGGTGGTTTATGTCTCCCGAGCGGGGTGATAGATAGATAGGTTGGGGGAAAACTATATATGTATGTTGATTGTACTTTAGAGCTTATGTGCATAGTCATAATGGAAAGATGGAAGAGCTTTTTAATGGCTGCCTGCTCTTGATGCTTATTCCACTCAGCTAACTCAACCCAACTTGGGCATTTCTGAGATAAATAAGGGGAACACTTTCTCCCTTAAGGGATGAATAAATAAAATAAGAAATATATGGTACATATTTATATATATAATATATGTTTATATATATTAGATTTCAGTTAAATGATTACTGCATGTTATATAATATATGTTTTATATTAGATTTATAAAAAATAAATAATTAAGCATACTTGTGTGAACTTTTTTAAATATTTAGAAATGGTGGAAAACTGTAATTGGAAAAAGTTTGGGAATTTTGTAAATCAAGATATTTATATTGAAGTTGTAAAATTATTTAAGCAACACGTTTCTCCAACATTCCCAAAAACAGGATTTCCTCTGCTGATCAATGCAGAGCTAGAACCATGAAGCCAGAATTCATGTCAAATCTCGGTAAAAAGGCGAAGCCATGATTGAGAAGCGAGCATCTCCATCTTCCTTCTTCTTTTTTTTTTTTTTTTTTTTTTTTTTTTTTTTCTGTTAGTTTTACTTTTCCGGAGTTGCTGACATCCGGTTTCTGTTTGTTTCCCGAGAAATTGGTGATCGGGATCCGATTATTGGTGCAGTCTTTGCGGAGGCGGATATGACGAGACGGAAGGCGACCGTGATTTGAAATCCGAGTTTCTTTGCCCGTTTTGTGCTGAGGAATTCCATGTTGTCTGCCGCATCGACGAGGCCAAAATTAGAGTTAATATTTGATTTCATTTCCTCTAGTAGTTTTCTTTGCTTTTGGTTTTGGTTTTTTTTGTGTCTGTCTTTTGATAAATATTACGAGTTTTCAGTCTCTTTGATCTTTACTGAGTCAAGTAATCACGAATTTTGAGCTTCTTTGCCAGTTGCTTAGACTGTTTGTCTTCCATAGCTTTGCTTATGGTTTATTTCTAATACTATGCCTGTGGTTATCTTTTCATCGGCTCAAGTTGTAATTAGGAAATTGGAAATGCAAAAGCTGATGTAGGGATAGGATGTTTATGACGGGGCTACTCCCGTCCCGATCCAATTATTGTTTTTTTGGTTCTTCAAAGTCGGTTTCCTTCATTTCAACAATGGAAGTGCATTGAAATTTAGCTAATTTGATCTGATGAGTTGAGAATGAAGAGAGATGGTTTCAGTAAGTAAAGAAATGGGAGAGGTGTTCTGTCTATGTTGCCCTAATTTTGTTTTTTTTTTTTCAGAAATTAAGCTTCATGGAAGGGGTTGTAGTGTTAATTTTCATTGTTGAACATATAAGTTACTCTGTGGGGGATTCATTTCCTGTGTTCTTCTCTTGTGTAATAGTGGATTTTAGTGGTTAAGTCCCCCTTTTTCCCCCTACTCAAGCCAGTGGCCTCCTCAAGAGATAATTCTTTCTGGCTAATGAAATTACTTGGAATGAAAAAACAGGTGTTCAGATTTGTTGGTTATCTGATGCTCTCTCCCCATGTTTTCTTTTATATTTCCATGTGTGTCCAGTTTGTGCAAAAAGGGTAGGAGCAGATATTGTCAGCCATGTTACCTTGCAACATGGAAGTTTTTTTTTAGATATCCTCTAACCGAACTTCTATTTTGATGCTGTCTGTTGTTTTTCTTTTTTCCCCAAATGCAGAGATTGATGAAGAAATACATGTTCATATCTGTGAGAATAAGTTAACTGGAATAGAACAGGTTACGTCAATGTGCTAGATTAAGAGATGTTCGAACATCCATTCCTGAATGTTTTTGTAAAATGGTTGCCTTTCCATTTTAACCTTGAATGAGGATCCACCATGTAAGAAATTTTCTGTGTGAATTAGAAACTTTCAGGTATTCTTGAGCTGTGAGTTCACTCTAAGCCCAATTATTTGTGATTCATGCTGAATGCAACCGCAAAAATCTCGCAGATATATGTGTACATCATGGAAAAAGCTGAACTTTCATTCTGTTTCAGTTACCCCTTCTCATAATTTCCTTTTTATGCACGGGCAGCAATCCTTGGTACTTTGAATCTATTTACCTTTATTTTTCCAAAAAAGGAAAAATAAAAAGGGTTGTAATTTGAATCTGCTACCGACTCACCCACATCTTTTAACTCCATTCAAGTGGCTGTGTACTAAGCCCTTGCTTCCCACAGTTTCTTATAATGATCGTATTTACATTTATTGTTAGCTTACATCTTCTCTGATCTACTCAGAAATTAAATTTTGTTACTCACTTTTTGATTTTGTTTGAACTGCCTAAGACTTGTCGCCGTAATTTACATTTTTTGTTAGCTTACATCTTTTCTGATCTATTCAGAAATTAAATTTTGTTTCTAGTTCTCTCCTCACTTTCTGATTTTGTTTGAACTGTCTAAGACTTGTCACCATACTTCACTGGCAATCTCACATTATGTTTATGACCACAATAAAGAGTTACTGCAGTTCCTTGACCAGAGATTAGTGCAGCGAAAGAGGAGATTACGCAAGGGTGGATCTAACTTGACATTTTCTATGCTGAGGAAAGAATTGCGAGAAGCAAATTCTCAGCCCCTTCATGGGGATCATCACATGTAGTTTCTGCCCATTGCTGTCATCATTTATGTTTAATCGATCTCTGGGTGATGAATGTTCAAACGGACATCGTTTATCTACAGAGGCGAGCTCAAATAAGGAAAGCTCGAGTAAGGTTATTCAAGACAGGTAATAGCTCTGTTGTTTTGTTGTCATTAACATTTATGAATTTGTTAGAAATCGTCGTGTCAATCAAAAGAACATGGACTCAGACAAGCTTGCTAATTGTAAAGTAGCTGTCAAGGTATAATACTGCTTGGAGCAAGGAAGTGTGTAGTAAATATTGGTCAATCAACAAATCAGTTTTTCCTCTCATTTATACTAAATTCTTTAATGTTATATTCATTTGAAACAACCATCTAGATGACCATTCTCTTTTCGGAACTACTGACTTAATTTGTTACTTTACATATTAGGTTGAGTTTGATATAAATCTACTCTATTCTCATTCAAGTGTTAGGTTTCGGTTTTTCATCCGTAGAAGTTAGTCATAATTTACATATTTAAGATAGAATTTAACCTAGAATTAACAGGAAATTATAACAATTCATATTTTCTACCCTATTTATATTTTGTTTCTATTCTTATTCCATATAATTTGCATTTGAGCTAAAATCAAGGCTAATGTAAGAAAACCCTGATAATGTCAAGTAACTGTCGCCGAGTTAAGCTGGCAAAAATTATCATAAGCACGATCATTCATAAGGTGGGATCCTCTGACCTTTTACCTTTGTATATTTAATAGCATTATATATACCAAAAGATGTATTGACATTGGTTTTAGCATTAGCTTCTGCATTAGGTTTGAGAAATGGCAATGTGGTTTGGTTAGGATGTTGTATTTCATGTTCTAACTCTGGTTTATAGCAACAGGAACCTTCAACGGTCAGCGTGTCGGGTCAAGGATGAGGAGGAGAAGGGTCTGGAGATGTGAGTTTGTCCTGGAATATTGTTCACCTTATTTACTCTTTGTATGGTCTGGAATTTACCAACATGTTGCTTCCATCTTCTAACAGAAGATAGGAGGTGCTGGGTCATCCGGGAAGACAGGCAGCAGGGACCATGGAATTGAGAGAGGCACAGACAATGTTCAAGTAATGAATGTGATACATATTTATATACATATATATGCATGTGTATGTTGGATTTTAATTAAATTACACAAGTTAAATAATTAAAGACCATTAAAAATAAATAACAGAAACCACAAAGCAACAGAATAATTTTTATCTAGACAACCTTTATAATCAAAAATATAACCTGGGGAATTTTTTAAATATTTAGAAACGAATGAAAATCATACTTACAGAGAGCAGTTTGTAGGAATTTCATTGTAACAATGGCTATCCATTTTCTAAATCAAACCCATTTATAATTTAAGTTGTAAAATTATTTAAGCACACATTTCTCCAGCATCCCCCAAACAGGGTCTCCTCTGCTGATCAATACAGAGCTAGAAACCATGAAGCCAAGAATTCATGTAAAACCTGGGGTAAAAGGGACAAGCCAACAAGAAGCAGAAGCAAGCATCTCAATCTTTTCTTTTCTTTTTCTAAAGAAAAACACCATTTCAGAAAACTGTTAGTATAAGGGGTGTTTTACATGAAGCAAAGAGAAAACTCTGTACACAATGACATCTCCCCTCAAGATGACCATTACAGTGCTGCTCATCATCATCATCATCATCATCCTCTATCACACCTTATTAAAAATAGTCATAGAGACTGATATTTCTGGCCACCGGCATCGTCTGTTTCCTGCATCGTCTATTCTAAAACACAACACCCACAATAAAAGCTATTGATCATTCACCTGCCTGCCTATAAAAGTTTTTTTCTTTTTTTTCTTTTTTGCATCTTCATTTTCACAAAAAGCCACATACTGACTATTCCTGTGCACTTATATATGTCTTATCTCTATAGAGAATGCAGAGAGGCTATTGTTTATAACGCAAGTAATGGTAAGAATACCTGCCCCATACAAACTAAACGAAAAAAATAACGAACTGGATAGTTCAGGTGGCATCTGCAGGTAAGTTTTTCTCTTCAGAATCATTAAGTCCCGAGAACCTTGCAATTTTGAAAGCAAGCAAGGAAATTTTGAGTTACCAAAAGGGTTATATATGGTTTTTCACTTCCACTCCGAGTTGTGAGATATAAAGAATCTGTAATCAGGATGATCGACTTGCAAACGTCTAAGCCAGTTGTCAGCTGCTTGTAGTAAAGAACTGGCTTTCGGACATTCATAAACTCCAGTAGCATTCCAAACCGATATTTTGAACTTATAGTATGCTAGTCCAAAAGTAGGTAGCGGGAGCTTCAAGGACATGTTGGTATTGTTAGACTCACGAACACTAGAACTACGCGAGTGCAACCCCTCACTGGCTGTACCTAACCCAAACAACAAGGCAGCCTCGTCATGACTAAATGATAGGCTAATAAAAAGGTTACAGCAGATATTTTAGAAGGAATACACACATAGATGTACATAATTATATGCCCGCACATGCAATATGAAGTATGACAAAGCTAAGGGGGGCGTGGGAGAGAAAGCCTTACTTTGATGGGGCGTTGACAATGAATGGAAGGTGAGAAAGCAGGCATCCAGATTCTGTAATGTGGGACCCATGGGTATCCTATATATAGGGTACCTTCATCAACAACGTCATAAATTTATCATCAGTTCATATTTTTGTTCATCAGGTTCTAGGAATGAGAATAATTATATTAATTGCATTCATATATAGTAAAAGGATTACAAAGAACACACCAAGCAACAGAAATCCAACTTGAAGGGGATAGGTCACAGCTTCGGTATGTCCTGAGTTCTGGAAATCTAGAAGTAAGGACTGAAATCTGCAGGGCACAACATTACAAACGTACATTGTCGTTTAGAGAAAAGAATGAACAGTGCAAGATACAATTTATAGTTTAGTAAAAGATAACGGGCTTGCCTTGTCAGCCAAAGGTTCACGCCCAAATGGGGGATCATGCTCCAAGTATTCAAAGATAAGATGACCTAGAGGATTACATGTATCACTTTCATCACTTGATGAGCCAACGAAATTGTTTCTCAGGGCGAGTCTATTAAAGCTCTGAATATTTGCATCTGCAACTTTTTGCTGGCTCCAAGTCCCTTGAACATTAGTGCCTCTCTCAATTCCATGGTCACTGCTACCATCACTACTCGTCTCCCTGGATGACTCAGCATCACTATCTTCACCAGGCCTTCTGTTAGAAGATGGAAACAACACGTGAGTAAATTCCAAGACATTAAAAGTGAATAAGAACAATATTCTCGCTGAAGTTGTGTTCAGACTGCACATTACGAGTCAGGATAAAGCAAACAATCATTTACCAAGTGTTATGTGACTTCATTAGTGAAGGATGTAAAAAAATGATTCTTCCATAAAAAAGGCTACCAAAACTCGCTCCACCAGCATATACATCTCATAAAACAATCAGATCCAGCCTTAAGAAGGCCACTAGGCTAATATGCCGGATATCCCTTCCTGCTCTTTTTTCTCGTTAAATTTTTTTATGACACAGACAGTTCTTTCTGCTCTTCCAGAAAGCAGCTCCTTAAGAAATTAAAACTGAAAAAAGTGATTGAATCACTTTTTAGAATGATTTCACTTGATTGGACCACGAAACATTCTAGTTACCACTAACAGCAACAGACGAAGCAAACCATGCATGCCATAGACGATAAACAACAACTAAAAAGTATAAGACAAATAAGATTACTTGTCATAGTCAGGCTTGAAACCTAATACTGAGCAAGCTTGTAATAGTGCAGCATGATTTACTTATCACATGAACTGGATCCAAATGCCAAGACATGGTCAAGGACATCATATTGGGAGTAACACCATAATATCTGAAACTGACCTGGCATATTCAGATATACCATAAAGTAGCAAGAATTCATAAGTCATGCGAACAAGTGCATATTAATACAAAAAAACAGTACCATGGCAGACAATAAAGGATTGTAAGAGAAGAGCACATTTTACAGTAAAACCAATTTCATAGGCAAAGTGATTGCCTACCAATTAGAGAAAACAACCAGATAAGAAAAAAGGAAAAAACTTCAATACTCATCCAAAAGTGATATTGTGAAGGTACTGATCGAATCAAACTGGGCACGCTGATACAGGGTCCCATCAAAACTCTTGAACAATCCACTATTCCATTTCAATGATTGATGGATTTTTTAAGGCCATATAGTTTCCCTTCTAAATGCCTGAAAAAAATATTTGCTAACTTGCAGGACCTTGCCTCAAAATGCTTTACTGAAATGATGCTTAGGACAATCCTCAACAAACATTGAACCTCATTTTCCCTTCCATTCTGAACCCAGAAATCACATTCTGATTACAGGTGTGTGCACTTAACATAAATGGTCACTAGGGCAGGAAGATGCATTCAGAATTGGAATACAACAAAGTCAGGGCATAAGAAGATCAATGATCAGATTTTTAACCTTCTCATGTTTATCTCAGTTTGAAGAGTCTGCAAACCAAGATTAGGCGTTGAACATGGTGAAGGTATATGGTACCATGATTTGCAATAAGGATGTATTGACCGAAGGATGAAAAGGATTACTTTGAGTGGGATCACTTCATGTGTCAAAAATTAGGTCTAGACTACCACTAAATCTGGGAAAAAAAAAATTCATCCTTTTGCTGGGATTAGGAGCAACTACTGCCTCTCACAAGAAAAAAGAGTAGTAATTCCATACAAACAGCTTTCAGATACAAGTAACAAAACTCAAACTCAATAAACTAAACAAATTACATTCCAATGCCAGCGTTCATCTTTGTGAAATTGCAGAGTTAGGTTACCCAAGTAACTATATAAAGCAAAAACTAAGAGGAAATGGCTCACCTCTGTCTTGGTCCAGGCCTTGATGGGTCCAAATACAGCTGAATGCCAGACAAATAAGGCACATAATACTGAACGACAGAATCACTACCATTCAAGACAAGAGGAACGCCAGCTCCATACGCACTCCATTCCTTGAATGACTCCCATAGTTCCCCAAGCACAAAGAACGGGTGGCAATCTGGTTCACGAGTCCTCCATCCCTTCATACTCGCCTAACATAAAAACGACTATGACAATCAGAATCACACAAAACATTCCACATGGAAAGAATTGGGGGTCGATAAGGTTGCTGAAGCATAGGAGAAAAAGGGGATTACATATAACTCAAGCGAGTCGTCTTTTAATTCTCCCATCAGTAACTTCATGGCATTTAAAGATAGGATATTTGCATTTTCCACAACATTTTCTCAGTACCAGATGCAGCAAAAGTAATTAAAAAAAAATCAAATTTTGATTAATCATAGGCCATCAATAAAGCCCCATTTTCATTCAAAAACCCTGAATCCTTCACCCATCTCCTAAAATTTTCTCAGCATCCAAAAATCCTAAAATCAAAAGGAAAACCCAAAAGGGAGGAAAAACCCAAATCCCCGAAATTGGCATTACCTTGGGCAAATACTGGGCGGAGACAACAGGAGTTGTGAACTCCAAGAACCGATCCAAATTGGACGAATCGGCGGAGGTCCGACTAGAGACGGAGCAATCGGACGACCCACATTCATCCGACTCTACCCTCTTCTTGTTGTTCTTGGAAGAAGAAGAAGTCAGCACCTTGGGTAACCTCGCTTGTTGCTTATCGGGTTTGAGTTTATCGGGCTGCAAATGTTTCTCCTGCTGCAACTGCTTCTCTCTCTCCTGTTGCAATTGCTTCTCCTGCTGCAGTCTCCGCATCGGCGGCGGATTGTAGAATCGGTTCTCCCCGCGGATTCCTCGCGCGATCGAAACCCCACCGGAACCCGACATTTTCACCGTCGCTGGAAGCAAATCGGTGGCCGATAACAGCAGTATCGTCGTTCAGTTAACCTGAGGAACAGGAAGGCGAATGCGAATGGGTTTGTTTCTGGGTCACGAAGTATGAGTGTCTAGGGTTTTAGTGGATTTTTACGAAAACCAGGATCGCAAAATCACACACATATAATATCCATGCGTACACCCACACACACACACACATATATATATCTATACGTGAAGGTGTGTCCAGTACTAGTAATGATTTTGATACAGGGATGTGGCGAAAAGAGGAAGGGGGGTGTTTGGTTACGTGTCTATCCCTAAGAGAGTTGTTGTTTGCAAAATCGGGGACGGGAAGAGTCGAGAGAAGTCATTCATTTATTCCGGTTTTGTAAGTGTAATGACTATTTTACCCTTAGTCGGTATAGAGAAATTCTGTGGGCTCAAAAGATCCATGTAAATCCAAATCCATATAGATTTTAGGTAAAATAAAATTGGATTATGTTTTAATTAAATTAAGGATTTGGGTTAATTACGTTGGACAAAAACGTAATTTAAAAAAATTAATTTCTACTATTTTTGGAATTATCCCAAAATATAATTAAATTAATGTAAAAGAAACTAAAATAGTTTTTTTAATTTTATTTCTTTGTATTTCATTTCCGATCTCCAATGGATCAATTGAGAGCCCATCTGGCCCATTGGGCCAAATTTGGGCCCATCTGGCCCATTGGGCCAAATTTGGGCCCATCTCGGATCCATTTAAAACATTATAGTAAGCACATAAAGGTATGTTGATGTATAAATTATTATTAATCTTTATATTAGTTATAATTGATTTAATCTCTTTAATTATTGTAATTTATAAGTAGATAACTCGAATTTTTGTGTAATATAATATACATATATATATATATATATATATATATATATTATCCTCTAGATGAAAGTTTCAACCCCTTACAACCTCATGTGAATGTAACATTTTATCTACTAAATTTCTAAATTCAACAAATCACTAATATTTTAGAGGTCACGAGATTAGATTATTTTTTGTCACCTAATGCATTTGATTATTAGAGTGTAATTACTTGGTTATATATACTATTTTGTTTTAATTTTACATATATATATATATAGACACACACACATACATGTAGACTACAATTAAACTTAATTTTGATTTAATTAATCATGGGTATTGTGAGTTATGAGATGGAGACTATTTGCACACTCTAATTGGAATTACTTGGTTATATATACTATTTTGTTTTAATTTTGCTTATATATATATATATATATACATACATGTAGACTATAATTAAACTTAATTTTGATTTAATTAATCATG